TTCTCCTACCAAAGTGGAACTTTTTTGTTTATCACTTTTCTGTTAAAGAGTTTGATTATTTTTAGAGCATCACATCATTAGTAGACCCCTATTATTTTAAAAATAATTTTCAACATCTTTTCAAATATAAAATTGAGCATTCACATTATACTTACAAATGAAGGAAGGATCTTATTTAGTAAATAAAAAATTAAGTATTTATTTCAGTCATTCCTTTCAATTTGTGAATTACAATAGACATTCCATTTGGAATATTTCAGCTTCTGCTTCCATTATTAGGGAAGGAGTGTAAAAGATCTACCGTACTACAAAACTAGTGTGGGGAGCACCCCCTTCTGGTTTGGGAATTGTGAACAGCACAGAGAAATACATATTTCAACACATGAAACCTATTGAACAGGAACGCAAAATGCAATAGTGTTTTAAAACAACAAATGCCAAAGCACATTGGTATTTTGTACATTCACACAGTATTTAGCTTCTAAAGACTGATGCAGAAGCTTCAAAATCTAAGTCTTTCTGCAGATAATGCCATTGAGGCTTGTATATTCTGCTGGAACTATTTATTGCCAATTAAGTGCTATATATTCTAAAATAAGACATAAAAGGCAAATAATGAAACACACACTCCTACAGTACACACAGATTTTGTTTTAAGTTATTTAACTAAAGGGAATTATCTGTGCAAAATAAAAGTAACAATTGTTTAGAACATTATTGGTGTACTTTTCAATTCTTTTTTTTCAATGTGTGCATATGTATCAATATGTAATAGTTTTCATTATGTATATTCAGTGGTGGGATTCAGCGATTGGCACTGATTCGATACCTAATTTTTTGTTGAGTTCGGTTATGATAAATCTGCATAAAACTCCCCTGCTGCCTCCTTCCGCCAGTCCCGGTATCCTTCCACCAGCCCTCTGTCACCGCCACCACCCTTTTTTGCATGCACTTTCTTGCTACCCTGCATTTGTCCGCCATCTCTCTTCTCCATTCTGGAAATGGCAGGCCCATTTTCTGCTGCTTTCCTTCTGGCAGAAGGGAGGAAAGTAAAGACGCTTTGTATGGAAGCACACTAAGCTCTGGGAAAACTATTCCAGCTGGAGCTGGGCGAGGAAGGCCAGGCTCCCCTTCCCCGATGGTTCTGCAAAGCCCTTGAGAAGCGGATCTGCTTCCTGCAGGGTTGACCTCGACTCTGCTTCAGATGGCAAACAGAAGAGCTTTGCTCTTTTTCTCCAGGAAGCCTTTGAAATTGTCTCCCCACCTTCATTTTTCTGCCTTAAAATCCAGAACTGACATGTTTTCTTTTTGATCAGCTGAGGATATGGTAACCACTGGTATGATTTTTTTAAGAAGCTGAGTGTCTGCTCTGGATTTGAAGGCAGAAAAGTGAAGGGGTGAATGGAAGGGGGCAATTTTAAAGGGCTGGAGAAAAAGAGCGAACCTCTTGTCTGCCGTCCGAAGCGTGTGCAAGCATGTGTGTCATGGCGGTGATGGAGGGGTACCAGGGCTGGTGGAGAGAGGCGGCAGGGGAGTGGTCTTGGTGCAAGCCACAGGAGAGTTGGCAGAGGAGGAAGATATTGCTACTGCCAGGCAGGTGATCTGTGGGGGCGAAGCAGGGCAGCAGGGGCAGTGGAGACCGAAGCTCCTCCAGCAATAGATGCGGTTGTTACTCAGCGACGGCAGAGCCTTTCACCTTCACTCCCCCCCTGGCTCCGAAACGGTGAAGGGGGATTGGGTAAGGTCTATCCTCCATAGCATGGCAGTCCAGCTTGGGCAGGAAGTGAAAGGGAAGAGCAGGCAGCCAAGTCACTGAACTGATGGGAGAGGTCTCCAAGTAGGGAGTGGCCATCTCCAACCCTGTCCTAACTTTTTAGGCATACGCCTATTAAATTTCATAGAAAACCAGTTGTTAAATTATTTGAATTCCACTACTGCATATATTTCAGGTCCGGTTACTTCTCTCCTTGATTAGTTTCCATCCGTTACTTCTTGTCCTGCCTTCAGATGCTTTGGAGAATAGCTTGACTCCCTCTTCTTTGTGGCAACCTCTGAGATATTGCAACACTGCTACCATGTCCCCCCCCCAGTCCTTCTCTTCTTTAAACTAGACATAACCAATTCCAGCAACTGTTCTTTATTATGTTTTAGCATCCAGTTCCCTAATCATCTTTATTGCTCTTCTCTGTACTCTTTCGAATATATTATATATATTATATTATATATATATTATATATCTCCACCCCGTGTCCTTTCAGTGAAGCAGTCGACGTGATGTGCTGGTGCCTGGAAGATGTGAGGGTCTAGATGGGGGTGAACAGGCTTAGACTCAACCCTGACAAGACTGAGTGGCTCTGGGTCTTGCCTCCCAAAGGCCAACTGGATGGTCCATTTTTAGTCCTGGGGGGGGGCAAATTTACCTCCCTCAGTGCAGGCACGCAACTTGGGTGTCCTCCTGGACTCACAGCTAAATCTGGAACAACATCTATCGGCTGTGGCTAGGGGGACCTTTGCACAGGTTCGCCTAGTGCACCAGTTGCAGCCTTATTTGGACCGGGAGGCTTTACTCACAGTCACTCATGCCCTTGTCACCTCAAGACTGGATTACTGTAACGCGCTCTACATGGGGCTACCCTTGAAGAGCGTTCGGAGGCTGCAGTTGGTTCAGAACGCAGCCGCGAGAGCGATTGTGGGCGCGCCAAGGTACGCCCACGTGTCACCTATCCTCCGCGAGCTGCACTGGCTTCCTGTGGGTCTCCGGACGCAATTCAAGGTGTTGGTTATCACCTTTAAAGCCCTTCATGGCATAGGGCCAGGTTACTTACAGGACCGCATTCTGCCGCACAGCTCCCAGAGACCGGTGAGGTCCCATAGATTGGGCCTCCTTCAGGTCCCGTCGGCAAGACAATGTTGGCTGGCGGGCCCTCGGGGAAGGGCCTTTTCTGTGGTGGCTCCGACCTGGTGGAATCAACTTCCCCCCGAGGTTCGAACTACTCCCACCCTGCCGGCCTTTAAGAAAGCCGTTAAAACTCTCCTGTTCCGGCAGGCCTGGGGCTGATGTCCCTGGGGGGGGGTGGGATATGATCAGACTCGCGGTATGACTGTATTATTTTATTGTTTTATGATTGTTTTAACTCTGTACGCCGCCCTGAGTCCTTTGGGATTGGGCGGCATATAAATATTTGAAAATAAATAAATAAATATTATAGCATATAAAATTATATATTAGCATGAACAAGATTATTATATCAGTGTAGTATGCTTACAAGGTAGTTGTATATGATATTTACTTTGATAAATGTGTTATTGCACATCTAAGCAATTATATTTAAAATTCCTTTTGTTTGCAATAACACATCAGGAACAACTGAGGAGATTCTTGCTTTTTACACTATTTATAGTAAGATATTGGTTCTGAACCAAACAGCAGTCTCTCAATTCAATTCAATTCAATTCAGTTCATTCAAAGGAAAATTAAGCTACATTAATTTGCTTGGCTTCTAATCAATAGGAACAAAATACTTTCAAGGCTTAGAGATAAATACCATGCAAGCAAAATACTATTAAAATGATAGAGTCAGAGTAGAATAATTTTGTATAATTGTGGCCTTGATTGATTTTTTAATGGAGCATCTACTTATTCTCTGACCCTGTGGATTTTTGTTGCATTTTTGCAACATACAGTAAATTCATTACACCCAATCTGCTTCCCCAGTGTATTTCACTGTTAAAGGTATAGCAATATAAAGAGCAAGTAAAGAGATTAAATGACCTATGCCATTAAAAACAAGGAGAAACCAAAACAGAACTCCTTCTAAGAAGTTATCATCTAATAAGCCTCAGTGTGCATTTGTAAGCTCAGCTAGAAAGCTGTTTTCAACTGAAATTGCTGCTCTGTATCTGAGCTGAAAAATTTTGATTTTTTTTCTCTATCAGTTTCAAAGTCTAATGAGTACAGATTTGTACAACCTGATTTTTAATGGTTCAAATACATGTTTTTAAAAATACAAAACATATATCATTTTAGGATTTTGCTTCAGTGTAAAAAATTGTCAAATGTAAAAATATCTTGGACTTAGAACAATGTTGTAACTGCTACATAATTACAAAGTTAATCAAGATAAACAGATTTTCCTGATATTTGATTTTATATTGTACTTGTAGTGACAAAGTAATGTTGCAAGTCCTATGTTCAAACATATGTATTGTAAATATGAAATGAATATTACTGTTGCAACTTTACATATATGTCCACAAGAGCAAGAATGGATTCATAAATCTCAGCTATTTAAGCTTCTGTAGCTTCTGCAAAATATCCACCCATGAAGTGTAGTGAATGTGAAAGTACAGGGCAAAAAGTTGTTCTGTATTCACCTTAGAATGTTTGTAAATCCATAAATTAAGTTATTGTTTGCTGGAAAACTAAGCAAAAAGTTGGATGAACAATAATCTAACAAAATCAAAATAAAAAATCTGGAGGAAAGCATTGCAGCAAAAAACAAAAAACCAAAAACCACTTGTTATTTATAGCCAAGTATTTCATAACACATGGACAACAGGAAAAAAAAATGATCTCCAGTGACAATATCTCCACTGATTAGTTTTAAAATCCAAATTATGTCAAGATATAAAAATCAGTTTGCAACAAATGAAGATATGCAAAGATATTTGAGCAAAAATATTCAAAATATATTTCAATTTTATAGAAATATTTATATTTTCATAACTGTCTACACAATTAGCTGTGGTTCCACTTGCCTTCTTGAATGAATGAATGAATGAAATAATAGATGCCCTGTTACCATATCATTCTCTGAATAATCATATAATTTGTTATATGTGATATAAATTCTGCTTCCTCCTATTTAATTACATGACATCTAAAAAACTTGTATTTAAGTCATTTGACCTAAAATGAGTTCCAGTTCCATTAAAATGTTGTAGCTAAAAATATCGTATATAAAAATTCACTAAGTTTTAAGCAAAAGATTAAAGTCTACCTTTCCTGTTCTTGTTTCATACGTATTCTCTCCTCTTCTGAAGTATCAGCTCCCTGCACTTTTATTTTCTCAATCTTGTCATCTTTTCGATGTTTGCCAAACCTGTTAATAACAAAATAAAAGTTCTAATTTGTCAAAACGATCGATAATTGTGTAAGATTTTCATTCTTGACGTAGAAAATTATTTCCTCAGTATAAGATGGCACCCACCTAATTGGATGTGAAGTATTATGTTGTTTGTCAAACAAATATCAGTTTCAATTCTTGAAAATGCTTATATTTTATTGACATTCCGTGAAAGTTGCTTTATTAAATGTGCAACCAAGTATTTTGTTACTATACTTATTTACATATAAAATGCAAAAGGCTTTTTATCATTAACCAAAATACCTAGATGTAAAATCTCTCTCTTTGAACATCTAAGGAATAAACTATTCTTATATGGTATATGTATGAAATACAGATACTTTATTCAGCTCTGATCAGCACTAAATTTGTTTCACCAAAGTTAGTCCTAAAAGTGCATAGTGCCATCTATTTTAAACTATAACATGGCCTCATCCACTATAAGGTGTTATTGAAAGATGATTAGAGACTATTGTTAACTTTAGGAGAAAGTAAGTATATTGGCATTATAAATATATTTTAAAAAATAGAATATGATCTACATCTCATGAATTTCACTTAAAGATGAATTTTGGCCAAATTAATAAAGCATGGCATCTTATTTGTACAATTCAATTCCTTCTCCCACCCAAAATCTGGAATTGTTTACCATGGACAACAATAGATTGGAAATCTTCTTGTCTTCTTCAATAAAAAAAAATGATAAGCCACTTCATGATTTATAGCATATTCACAATACCCAATTTCCCAAAAACAATATAATTGTTTTATTCTAAGCTAACTAGAAACATGTAAAAGTGTGATGGGAGGTTATATAGCTCATATAAACAAACAAACAAACAACCTAGATTTAGTTTCCATTTAGCACAAAGCCAGTTAGTGGATGACCTTGGGCCAGTCACTCTCATCCCTAGGAAGCAGGCAAATTGCTTCCAAAATCTTGCTAAGAAAACTGCAGGGACTTGTTCAGGCATCAATTTGAAGGCATTAAAAAAAAGATAATGCAGCTTATAATTACTGTATAATTGAAACAAAAGCACTTTATTTTAGGAATTTGTTTTTATGACAAATTGAGATAAAAGTTGCAAATTAAAATATTCTGCATTCCCTAAAGTGTGATAAAATGATGAGAGATTTGTCCCAAAGATGCTTTTTCCACGAGGCAACTGGACTTTCTTATTTATTTTTTTTTGAAGATAGTCTGCAATACTGCATTCTAACCACTGCGCCACGACTCCTCATGTTAAAAATGAGAGGACTACTGTATGACAAATCATTCACAAATATAATTAGAATAAATACTACAGGACAAAGTCACTGAATGATTAATGGAAATATTTGCAAAAAAAATGAGTTAGACATTTCAGTAATTTTTCTTCTGGAAAGTGAAAATGTGGCCCTTAGGCTTCATTTAGAATTTCCTGCCCACCCGTCATTACACACCTACACTGAGAAGGGTTTAATGGTTAAGCATAAGCTGCAGATGGCTGCAGGTGGGCCAATACGCTCATCTCCCAAATTTCAACTATGCATTTTATGGAGGTGCATGTGCAGGTTGGTTGTTCCAACTTCCTTTTCTGAGTGCCCCCTAGCCAAAATAAGCATTTGCAAACATATAAAGGCAACAGCTATGCAACCATTATGGAATAACAGATACCTGTATTCCTTATGTGCAATGACGGAGAAGTTTAATTCAGGCTTTATTAAAATATACCATTTTCTTTTGATAAGTAATATTGCTTCGTTTTAAACATTACAGTCTACTTCTCGAGGCTGCTGTCAAAATACTGAACTCCTATTGTAACTTTTTTGCTCTACCATGTTTCCATGAAAGTAAGGCCTGCCCCGAAAATAAGCCCTAGCTTGATTTTTGGAGGTGGGCTGAATATAAGCCCTACCCCCAAAATAAATCCTAGTTTTGGAGTGAGGCACACACATAAAAACCAAGCTAGAGCGGAAGTGGGGGTGGACCTGCCCCAGGTGCCCTGCATCCACTTACCAGGCCTCCCATGAATGGACACCTGCCTCTCCTCACCAGCCCACTTCTTCTGTGGAGTACCCCGGCTAGCATTTCGCAGTCAGACGCCTTTCCGGAAGGCCTCTGCAGCCAAGAACTGAGCTATGGATTCCATCCATAGCTCGGTTCTTAGCTGCAGAATGAAACTGTTCCTTTGCCTACAGAAGAAGTGGCCCAGCTGGGTGGGGCTATCAGTACTATTGCCACGAGGTGAGTGGAAAAGACACCCTCTGAAAATAAGACCTGGTGCCTCTTTTGGAGACAAAAAAAATAAGACCGGGGAAACTGGATGGCAGTTTACACTATAATCAAACTGGATGGCATTTTACACTATAAGCTATAGGAGCCCTGGTGATGCAGTGGTTACAATGCAGTATTTCAGGCAAACTCTGCCTACTGCCAGGAGTTCAATCTTGACTGGCTCAGGGTTGACTAAACCTTCCATCCTCCTAAGTTCCATAAAATGAGGACCCAGATTGTTGGGGGCAATATGCTGTCATTTGTAAACCACTCAGAGAGTGCTATGAAGTCTAAGTACCATTGCTATTGCTATACATATTTAACACTTTGCAGTATAAGTAAAATAATAACTACATATAATCATAGAAGAAAGGTATTGAAAAGGCAAAAAATGAAAAAGAATGCTAATGATAATATTCAGAAAGTTTTTAAATGTTTTTGAATTTAAATTCTGTAAAATGATATATGTAACTCCCTTGGCAAAATGAATAATAGAAGCCCTTAGTACAGCAGCATTTGCTAATCATATTCTTAAATATAGCAAATATTTGTCATTCCCAAAATGCTTAACTAATATAAATAACAGTATACTAACTAGTAACAGCAGAAAATGGAGTAACTGATTCTAATATCACTTTCTTACTGTTTATAATTGCTTGTATTTTAAAAGTTCATTGCTTTAGCATTTTAGATGGCAATTTTAACTTTTTGCAATCTACTAAGGAATAAGATATTAATGAATACCCAAATCACCCTCTTCTTCATCACCACCACCACCACCACCACCATTCTGCACTGCAATTTATTTTTCCAATTTCAGTAATTGTGGGGTAGTGGACTAAGAAAGTGTTGGATAGTTTTCTTCTTCGCAACTTAAGGATTATAGAATTGTTCCAAAACCATCTAGTAGAGAATTCTTGATATAATTATTATTGCATAAACTAGATCCAAAAGAAGAACCAGATGCTCAATTAAATATCAAAAGAGAACATGGAAGTATTTTTAAAGATATAATTAAGAAAATAAACACACCTGTTTCTCCACTCTTGCAAACTGATATGAATTTTGTCTCCTTAGTTCCTTAACATAATTAGGTTTTTTGTTAGGCCACTAGTTAGAATTTATTTCCCACTGTGATAGCAATTATTTTCTAGAACTGAGTGTGTTTCTCAAAGTTATCTTAGTTCTCCTTATCCACTATTAAAAAAATAAAAAGGAAGTACTTTTTCTAGGTAAATCTGAGGTCTCACAAAACTCTGATAGCTGGGATGAAGGACACTGAGGATCCAATTATTGTGTATCAAGTATCCATACATGTGAACCCATACAAGAATAAGGAGATGTCTCAGATACATAGTACTAATATGGACTTAAAGACAGCTTTTGGTTTACTTCAGTTCAGAATCTCTACTGATGTAGGCAACCAACTAAGATGGCTTTTTCCAAAGATTAATTAATCCAAATTCCCTGCAGAGATTTTCTTATCACTCTAACAGGCAACTGACATGGTTGACAAAATTGGTCCCAAGTATCATCTATCACTATTGTTTTAAAAGAACCTGGAGGTATTGAAATCAGTGTAAAATAAGCAGCTAAAATAATGTTTTTTTCCTTTGGAACTGTTGCAAATAATTTTAAAGAGAATCACCCGGGGGGGGGGCTTGGGTGGCCAAAGGCTTATTGCAGTGATTCCCAAGCTTTTCCATACCCTGCACCCCTAGAACGCTTCTGATATATTCTTGACCCCTTACAAAAGTTCAAAATAATGGCAATGAATTATTATATACACCATAATTTTGATAACCCTAGTTTTTGCACCCCTTGGCTTATTGTATTTTGGGAACCCCTGGCTTACTGTATTTTGATTCATGAGAAAAAAATATTGGTCACTCAGCAGCTAAATGTTCATGTCAATATATTTTCAAATGATAAATGTCTTTTTATCTGAGCTGACTTGATTGTCATAAATGAAAAAGAATCACAGAATTACAGATTTGAAAAAGATATCTAGTCCAACTCCTTGCTCAAACAAGAGAACCTATACCATTCTAAACAAATGGCTGTCCAGTCTCTTCTTAAAACTTCCAGTCATGAAGCATCCACAATTTCTGGAAGCCAACCATTCCACTGATTAACTGTTCTATTAACTGGTGGTCAATAATATTAAGTACCTGGGTGTTCAGATAACTAATAATCTGATTTGGTCTCTTCATATATTATCTTCAGTGAAACATGCAAATCAGTGTTAGCATTTCTTGCACTGAATGAGAAGGAGCGTTGGCTTACCTGAATGCCTGTTCTCAGCATGATGATGAAGAATCCACCAATGGATTATTTCAGTCCTCCTGCCCAATCAGACTAAGTTGTCAAGTTGTCACGCCCCTCTTTGTCTGGGACCTCCCAGTTTCATCGACGGCATAGCCAATGACAACAGTTTGACGTGATGACTCTCAAGCAGGTACCAGGAAAAAAACAATAACAAGTCCTCAACGCAGACCTAACTAACCGCTAGAAGGGAGGGCATGGATTCTTCATCATCATGCTGAGAACAGGCGTTCAGGTAAACCAATGCTCTTTCTCCAGTATGATGACTGAAGAATCCACCAACGGGACGTACCAAAGCTCATGGAGTCCCTATGGGTGGGAATCAGTTGGGGTCTGGGAACATGATGGTGTCACTACTTGCTGTAAAATACGTCTATCGAAGGCGGCCTCAGCC